GAGAAAAATGATAGTCAAAAATGCCGCAATCCCGCGAACTTGGTGGTTTATCTGAACAAATCGTCTCATGTCTATTAGCCGGGTGTACTTTATACTTCATTATCTTTCCCATATATCTTTTATTTATTTCTGCTAAGTATAATCTATTGCGCATTTCCAAATAACGCTTAAATGAATCGGAAGTGGTTTGTACCATCGCTAACAGTGCACCAAATGTGTTTAATTTGCTTATTTATAATCTAATTATGAAATTTTCTATATTATTACATCGTAGTCTCACGCGCAAATGATTTATTGTCCCTCTCGGAAAGATGTTTCTCCCATATGGCGTAATTACCATAGCAACTACACTCCTCAAGCCACTCGTGCCTTGAAACAAGCAATTTTATGATTGCCCTGTTAAAGTACGGACCTACTAAAGTCTATTTTAGAAATGCATACAGTAATGAAACATCAAAATACGCTGCACTACAATCAGTAATGCAGAGGAAGGTAATAGGAAAGAAGTGTAGGTAGAAGGGCAATCAACTTGCCTGAAAACTTGGTTCGGTAAATCGACGATCCAATGTTTCGAGCAGACACTACAAGAAGAAGTTATGCAAAGGGACTAGAGAGTGAACCAATGAATTAAAAGACACTTTAATTTTTTATAAAACTTCTGGATTCCTCCTGCGTCGGTTTTTGTTGAGTTGAACTAGCTAACTTTTCACCAATCGCACACAGATCGATACCTTAGTATATTGTCACATCACCATTCGGTCCAAAAATCATCGCTTATCGACTCTCTTATTTACAGAGCCGTGAAACTATCTCAGACCGAGTCACTGAATCGAGGATTAAAATACCTTACCTCTGCTCTTCTCTCTAATAATTTCCACATTAGATATTAAGCGTTCCATCACAAAATACACTTCACTACAACCTTCCAATAGCAATGAAGGCGAAAGCGATCCCACTGTTGTCCTTCCTTGCATTCAGTGATGACCACATATCAAAAGTTCTAAAGGACAAAGACAAAATTCCATTTGAGATCCCAGGAGTTTATAGCATTCCATGTATATGCGGCAAAGAATACGTTGGAGAGACCGGACGAAAAATATCAACTATGCTCAAAGAATATGACAGAGCCTTAAGACTAAGACAAATAAACTCATCAGCAGTTGCCGAGCACAATCACATTTAGCTCCGCCCCTTTCATTACTTGGCATTAATTTCATTGCAACATCCAGTACTACTACCCGGGTTTGGGTCAATTTATGGATGCTGCCTATCGTAACACTGAAAATGATGTGCCAAAGGCGTCCTTTTAGGATCTTTTTCTTCACTAAAATTAACTAACTGCAGCAAATTCTTGACGTATTTCTGCTGTTCCGCCGAGCATTTGTTATACTGGATTATATAAACTAACTTTTGCTTTGCTTTCTTGGATATTACCTCCTGCTAGCGTAAATAAGTTTTTGTGTCAGGAGTTAATTTATATATTTTGTATATTGTTTTTAACTTCTTTTTTACTTTATTTTTGTATATCAAATAAATAGCAATATCAAATATAGCAAATAAACTTTATTATTATCATTATACTGTTTACAGAGCGTATCACTGGTCTCATTTTGGCTAGCCTAAATTTTTGCCGCTATCCCATCCCTACCACGCCAGAGATAAAAAGCAATTTTCCGGTTGCCTTGTAACCAGGGACGCGACACCGACCCGACTCAATCGTCACTGTGCTAAAAAAATCCTCCACTGGCGAGAAAAAAGTAAAATCCCAAAAAACCCCGCGAAAGTGTTAAGACTTTTCGTATTCAGAACTCTCTTTCTGAACTCTTTTTCTGCCGTTAGCAGGGCGTCCGTTTTTCGCAGTTAAATGTTTTTTATTAACTTATCCCGAGAGACAAAAAAAGGTAAATTCATTTTTATCTTGAACCAGTTCTATTTTTTTTTTTATATTTTTATATTTTTTATATTTTTACCGAGCCAGAAACACAGACCCCCAGACAAAGATAACAAAAGAAATATCGAAAACAGGGGAACATAAATGCGTCGTAGCTCTCATTTAGCTTTCCGAAAACAACGAAACGAACCAGACTATTATGCTTTTCCGGATAAGTGTGCTAGAACAGTTTTTTTTTTTTAAGGCGCTTCCCAAGAACATTAACTGTGAGGAGCGGAGCGGCGAATGCAGATGAGGGTAAGAAATAATATTTTGTGCACGTAGAAAAATAATTCTTTTTACAAACAGAACGTAGAGCGAGCGCTTTTAGGCCACTGTTTTACCATTTCTACGTGTTGAGCTTGAGATGTGCAGTCCTTGAGGCGTATTTGCGGTAGAAGAATTTCTGGTGGATACAAGTAAAGTAATACATAAGAATTTAATGATTCCTTTATTTTGTTGAGCAAGTAAATCTTTATTTATTTACGCGTCCACATTTCTGAATAGATGGAAAATTTAGTTCCAAGTCTTAAGCTACGAGGTTCATAATATTCTCTTGGCATGTGAAATGTATTTACAAAATCCTGCGTTAAAATTTCTGTCGATAGGGATTTAATTGCTGTAAGCAGTTTATCTATCTGTTATAATGGACGGAAAAGACTTGCCTTAGAAGAAGACGACGAAATTATTGAAGCCATTTTAAAAAAGTTACTACTATATTACTATATGTGTTTCCATGTTTTTTCACTAGCCTTTCCGTTCATCCAAATGATCTTCAGTTGAGAAAGAATAATGAAAATTCCATGAATTTTTCAACGAATTTAATGAAAAATGATCAGTAGACTTTTGTTGATTTTATGAATGCTAGAAGGACCATCCGAGTGGGTACTTTAGTTTTCTGCCCTAGAAACTATATTCGGATTGCTCAAGGTGCAGAAAAGCAATTATTTTTTCGGACTCCAAAAGTATTATGCAGAATTGGAATTGTTGCTAAATCTACATATTTCTCTTTGGATGCCAAAAGCAAGATTTTTTCTTAAACGAAGGTTCAAGACTAGAGCCTTCACCTGTGTTGGATTTCTAGTTTTACAGGCATTAAACTAAACGTCACTATAGAGCGATTGGCAAATTCTGGTATCTTCGATAAATAAAATATTATTATAATTTTAGAAGATTCTTACCTCCACTTAAAATGGTTCACACTTAGAAATGCCTCCTATTGAGCCTTTCTTTCACAAGTCTGAACAGCAAAAAAGGCTAGTGACCAAGTAGTATAGTGACAAAGTATTCTTTGGGATTTTGGTGAATTTGGTAAACTCACTGATGTGGTATTTGATTATCCTATCCATTGGCTGAGTTCGCAAGTTTTATGTGGTTTATTTAGTAATACTTATTTTCCTCTTCCCCATCATTTGAACAATATCTTGTTCAATCCAACCTTGCTTAAATTTCTACCTAGAAATATTTCCCGCTTCTTTGAAACATGTAGGTAGCTAGATGGTTTTTGAGGGACGATTGGATATTTCAGACTCTCCTCACGGGACCAAACTTTGGGGGTTCAATAAGTTCATCACCACTGAAGCTGGCCAAGTTGCCTCTGTTTGCAGGGCCATAAATAGTAAAAAATCTTCGTTTATATTATTTCGCAAAATTATATTTAATCCATATGATGACTTTTCAGGTTTCCCAGAAAATTATAAAACTATTTCATAAACAATATCCTATACAAAAATCCTATCGTTTTTGATCCATATATTTTAAATTTTATGTCACAACTGACTTTTGCAGATATATAGAACAATCAAGGCATTTATAAATTACAAAACAAAACTTGAGGTTTGGGAAATGTGTGTGTGCTACATGCCTCTAACACCCTCTTCTATTGCTGCATAACAGCCATTAAACCAATAAAAAAAACTAAAAAATAAGAAAACCTGACTGGAACATTTAGATTACATTTATTCTAAATCCAAAGAATCTATAATTAGCAATAATATTTAGTTACAAGTTGGAAAATACAAAATATACTAAACCTAACAGTATACTCAGTTTTTATCCATCTTTAAATATATGTGTGTAGAGTTCTTTATCTATTCATTTCTGCAACTCCAATCTATTTTAGTGTTGATATTTCAAAGATAAAATCTCATTAAAAATATTTTTTAATAATAATGTTTTAAACTATCTTTTCAGTTTGTTTAATTTGCTATTAGTGTTTTCTCCAATAATTCGTGCTCTTATGAAAACTGTGTGTAAACATAACATCATTTTTTTATTAAAATAACAATAACAACAAAAATGAGTAAGTTAAGCGGTATCTTTTCAAAGTACTGAGATAAATTGCGATTTATAATAGTTTTCATTGATCAACACTACACAAATTATAGATCAAAAATCATAAAAGTATTACCCAAATATTAATAAACAATGTTGAGACTATCGCTGCTCCACAAATCGTATCTCAAACAATACACAATGCAAACAAACCAGATGAATTATTACAAAAATAAATGTACTTATAAACAGAACTCACAACATTCTGTAAGGTGTGTTGGTGATGGTTTTTTGGCTTAGATTTTTAATTTTGTTTTTTTATTTTATGAGTAGTTTATTGAAAATACAGTTCTCTTTTAAATTTCACAATTTATTACAAAAAACTAGTTACCTGTAAAAATAAATATTAATAAAACAATTGTCATATTTTGAGTTAACATAGGCCAGGGCAGTTTCATAGCTTTTCGATAAGTTAGAGCATAACGGAACTACAACAGAGTGTCTAAAAATCCAATATTATATAAATTATCTTGTAATTAAAAATCCAAGGTAGCTAAGACATTTCTGTTGGTGCCACCTTTCATTTCATAAAAAAGCAGCCGATGCTAACTTTATTAATCAAGGAGCTTTAACTCTAGATATATAGAAGCAGCTTCCGTTGTTCCTAGTTTCAACTAAAGAAAATACGGAAGTCAACCAGAATTTGAGGATCTATTTTCTCGTTCCCACATGTATTTGTTCAGCAAAACTCCAAAAATGATTAATACAAACAAGATTTTCTTAAAATTAAACTCACCTGCGGAATTTTAAACAGGCGCAACAAATTTGCCACCTGAATAGACGTTACGCTAGATGGCGCTCCAACTACCCCGGAGATAACCTTTCGAACTTGAGTCCTGTTGCAATGGTATTCGGCGCCGTCGATGTTACTGATCGAACCTGAAATAAACGTAGGATGCTTATAATTCAACGCTACTTTCAAATAGCAAAAAATTGATTGTTGGTATTCTGTAAAATACAACAACTTTAGGATGTCTACACCGACTTTTCCAAGGATTTTGCTAAATTTGATCATTTTACTTTATTTAAGCCTCTTTAAAACTTAAATAGTTATTGATGTGAGGGCCAAATTTTATTGTGCAAATACGTTCGCAGTTCGCGTTTAAAAATAGTGTTTTAAAGTAAAGTCTTAATTTTTAACGATAGATATCAGATATGAAAGACAGAAATCAATGAAATACTTGGGCTTGAATTTGGGAAACCAATCCATCGATCATTGAAAAGAACTTTTCTAAGCTGCGGAAAATGATTTTCGAGATATTTGTTGTAGAGATCGCACAGCTCGACGTCTTCAAATTTAGATTTTAGGAGTGAGTTTTCTTGAACTTCGAACAACTCTATTTGAAAGTGTATTGCAGCAGTTTGTATATTACTTTTTGTTAGAGTAGCAAATAATTTGAACCAGTCTTCCATGTTTATGAAATCGCTTAATCTCTTCGAAAATTGTTCCGACAGCAACTTGAGTTCTTCATCATATTAAGCTCAAATAATATTTTTATACGCAGAGGGCATTCCCCCTCCCTTCCTTCAGTACGTATTGACTGACGATGGTTTTGCCCTCGAGTTCGAATAAAATTGATTGTTTTTACTACCATTCTACATTCTAGAGACAAATGGACAGAAATTCTGTCGGACTATGAAAACATATTTTCTACTTCCTTCTGAAAAATACCTAATTCTACACCGATTTAGCATGCGGAAAGCGTCACTTTATCACGAGTTTGATGTCTCACAGATTCGAGCCACTTCGGACATTTCCGGGATTTAACCGCACGGGTTTCGGTTCAATCGGATGTTTTCGGGGATTTTACAGCACGGCTTGAATTTCAACCTTTTTCAATTATGACGGTCATTTCAGTGAATGTATTCGTGTTGTAGTATAGTATGCAACACGTTTGATTAATTTTTTAAGTTACTCGTTTATTACTCGCTCCGCTAGTGCCAAATACACTTGTTGCATAATATACTGTTTTGTACATTTAATACAATTGCTTTTTCATTGAAAATTCCGATAAATTCTTTAAATAAGCCGACCATAGAAGAAGTCTTTATCAACAAGACGAATAAATATAGCCAATTACTATTAAACACAATTTGGTATTTTGGTAGTTTAAAGAATAATAATGACGTTAAAATATTTATTTTTTTCCAAAGAAACTTCCACAGGCTACTGTACCACTATTCACAAATCTTGAGGATTCCTTCTGCTGAACTGAAACCGGTTTACATTCTACTTTGTATCTGCTAATACTTGTGTACTGCGTGAGGAAAGCGGAGCTGAAGGCCTGATTGTTATATTTGTTGTTTGTATGTGTGCCGATGGTATTTCATTAGAAAACCTGAGTCGGGACAAAGAAATATTTTACAAGATGAATGTTTCTAGAGAATATATCCGAGCGCGATCTTAATTTTTGACTTATGCGAGTAGGCCAAAGAAAACCCCTTGTTGACGGACACTCAGAAAAGAAATTTTTACATTTGAGTCAAATCAAAACTTTCGTGAACCAAACAATTGAGCAAAGTTTTTATAGCGATCAAAGCAGATTTGATGTCTGTGTGAGAGATTGCAGTAAGAACACTCACAATCTGGCCGATTTAGGACAGATTTCTATCGACAACAAATCCCAAGAGAAAAATGTTATGTCGATGTAAAAAGCCACTTAGCTACAGGAGAAAGTAAGTTTTTTGGATTTTTAGTTCATTTAGTACTAAATTGTTAGCAAAAAACCATTGGTTGGTTGGGATCTTTTGTAAGTGCAGCAAATTATCAGCAAGCATTCTATGATACTTGTCAATTGACAAAACGGCGATGTCAACACGCCAGAAGAATGCTATCGAAAGGTTACTATCATCGAATACCCGAACCACCCTGCCTTCAATACACAACGTTCAATAATAAAGTGGTATTATATATTGTTTGTCGTATTTGATCTACCTCGTTTTCAGACATATCAAGTACTTTTACATATATTTACATATATTTAATGAAATCCGTTTTTTTGTTACCCAACTATGGGAGAACATCATTAAAATAAATCAAATTAATACAAAGTTCTAAGAAAATATTGTAAAAGCAGAGAAATATAGTATTAGTTACGAAAAAATATACGGGGTTAGTAAAAAGTGAATTGTGCGTGTCCAATTTAGTAGTATCATAATTTCAAAATTTTGTTTCTATTAATTACTGAGCAACTATTTTATTATTATGTTTGGGTAAAAAGTACAGGAACGCTTAAATATGGCCAAAACTGCCAAAGCTGGAACAAAAAAATGCAATACCTGGAGGTTTTTGAACATACAGGATTCAAATATATACAGCAGTATTGTCAGATTTGCCACTGTTAATAAAAAAAAATTAAAATCTCAGAATTTTTGAGGATATAAGTGAAAAGTTAGCAGGATTATAAATATCATTGTGAAATCGACAACATTGCTGTTAGTATTTTTGAATTCTGCATGTTGAAGAACCCCCAGATATTGAATTTTGATCGCTCGAGCTTTAGCAGCCGTCTAAGCAGTTTAGCTTTGAAGTTTTAGAGATGTTCAAGCATTCCGGTACTTTTTAATAACCCTGTATAATAATATAAACCTACCTATTAATAAAACCAGTTTAAAGAGCAAGTGCCCGATAGATGGGACATATCCGTTCGGTGGAAAATTTACTTATTGGAAAAATTGTAATGTATGTGTATATAAATGAACAAACGAGCAAAAAATTGCTGCTGTATACGATATACTTGTTTGTAGCGGGTAAAAATAACGCGCAAAGGCAATAACGTAGAAATGATATACCCAACACATACCGATTACTGAACTTCCGCCGCACAAATAAAAAAAATGCACAGGGCATGCAAAACGAAAAAAGCAACAATTCCCATGCACAGAGAGAGCTAAACCTAATTATCATTTCGACCATAAAATTCTCGAAATGTACTTTTTCTGACAGAGGTGCAGAATAATACCGTCTCACCTGCGCATGAAAGGGGAAAATTTTTAAATAAAATGTTAATCATGTGTGTCAAAAATAGTAATTAATTTGGGAAAGCTTTTAAACGTTTACCTAATAAAATGGATATTTTTTTATTACCATCAAGCCTTGCGGAAACTTTACAAACCTTTTAAAATAATTCTATTGGAATATTTCTGATTTTTTCTGAATCACAGTCTTTGGGCTGTTTCCGATGGCAAAAAAGGCCGTGCGGATGCTGTGCGGAGCCAATCCATTTGTACAATGTAGTTCAATTTTTAACAGGTTATAGATTATTACTTAGAATTCTGTATACATATATCCATTTATTTTATATATACAAAAGACACAACTACAAGACCAGACAGGTTGATATGATCACCCCTGGTTACTTTGTCTTCGCAATTTAAAAAAATTAACGTTAAGTTATGTACCGTCTACCGTCTAATCTCGAAAACCTCCTTTTGTATCACTAATGAATACTTGAAGCTATCTAAGTAATGAAATCTTGTATTTTGAATACTCAATAATTTTTATTTTGGACATATCAATTGCTGTGTAATTTATATGATTGGGTAAAAAAACAATATCTCCGAAAACATCCGATTGCTGTCAAACCCGTGCAGTAAAATTTCGGAAGTGTCCGAAGTGGCTCGGATCTGTGGGAAACGAAACTGACGTGGTAAAGCGACGCTTCCCGCACGCTAAACCGGTGTGTAATTAGGTATTTTACAGACGGGAGTAGAAAATTAGAATATTATGCAACAAGTGCGTTAAACGGCATTTAACTCACGAGTTTATTTGACACAAGCGGAGCGAGTGTTTAATAAACGTGAGATTTAAAAAGTTTACCGAACGTGTTGCATACTATACTTTTTCTACGACCTTTAGCTTTTGGGTGCATTTTCGCAAAACAACACTAATACGGTCACTGAAATGGCCGTCTGAATTGACAAAAGTCAATATTTAAGGCGTAGAAAATCGTGCCGTAAAATCCCGGGAATGTCCGAAGTGGCTCGGATCCGTGGGAAACAAAACTGACGTGGTAAAGTGACGCTTCCCGCACGCTAGATCGGTGTGCAACTAGGTATTTTACAGAAGGGAGTAGAAAAATAAGTCTAGTGCTCGGTGGTGATAATTCAAAAATAAATAAATACAGGGTGATCAAAAACTAACATTAAAAATTGTATTGAAAAATTCGTTAGCTATTTTAAAAAAAATTAAATACCCCATTTTTATTATTTTATCGTATTCATACAAAAAGTTCTGTTATCAATGCTTTCACCACCATGTTCATTTGAATATTTATTACCAGTTTTTGATGACCACATAAATTAAAATATCAAATAATCGATAGATATTTCAAATTCAACATGGCCGAACCTACCTAAGAATTACCAGACTTAAGTACAGGATATAACATATCTCTAGAATTTTCCGAAGAATTTCAAAATGTCTTAATATGGCAGGACCATTTAAAATAAGAAAGTATTTGTTTAGGAAAATAAAAATAGTCCAAATAAAGGATTATAATATTTTAAAATTATGAATTAATTCAAAAGTTGTTTTGGTTTTTATATTTTTAGATGTTTTTAACAGTATCTGAGATAAGGTGCCGTCTTATAATAAATAAACAGGTCGCCTTGTCTAATGTCCACGGCCCGAGATAAAATATTCCTGCTAGAACCTACCACATGCAGATATCAATCATCTGGTTGGCGGCATGTCGCGATGAGTTACATAATACAAACCATTGAATTATCATTCATAGTTTACAACTATTGCCCAAAAAATTAATAAAATATATTTACATTTATTACTTTATATATTAACAATTATTTAGCACAGATTAGCTTAGCAATAACAAAACTATAGTTAGATTCATTTATCCTGACGTGGGTGTAAATGTCCG